CCAAGTAGTCTAACACAAAAGTACAGTCATGTCACACCAAGTAGTCTAACACAAAAGTACAGTCATGTCACACCAAGTAGTCTAACACAGAAGTACAGTCATGTCACTCCAAGTCATCTAACAAAGAAACGGCTGGCACCGCTTTACATCGTTCTTCAATGTAACAAATAATTTTCTCCTTCACAAATTAACCACCTAGTTCTTACGGCTATATAACGCATCTAATGTCCTATCTACGAATCGGCCATTTGTCTGGTTGATGACGCATAGTCTGAAGCGATGAGGAAACAATCAACTTTGAAGACTGAGTTTACGTTTCCTGTTCTTTGCGGCAAAATTAGGTGAAACAGAGAAAATACTGGTTTATGAAGGTAATATTTTGCCTCATGCCTCTGATTCTTGTAGAGTTTCTTATTGCGATAATAACTGTGGTCGCTATGTAAGTCATGTAACAGTTCATTCAAAGTTTATTACTGAACAGGGCGTAGTGGACACCATTGTAATGTGGTCAACACAGTTACCTCAAGCCCAGTATTTAGGTTAATCAGATAAAAAGGGTAAAACTGATATCTGGAGTTTACAGGCAGAGCAAGTCAGCTGAAACCCGATTATAATCGACAGTGTATTTTATTAAAATGTTAGCTTTTCTTTCATAGATTCTTAAATATCAAATGTCATGCAACTCTTACTAGTGTATCGTATAACCAACGCCCATTAGAGTCAAACTTTAACGTCATGCTGATTGGTAAACTAGTGAAACGTTTTTGATTTGATCTTATCCGGAAGTAAAGTTTTCATTACTTTGGGACTGAGTGTTGACAAAATAACAGAATAACGATTTTTTTTAAATAATGACAACAACACGAAACAACCATGTTAGTTTTATTTTGACTAATGATTGTAATGTGCTTTGGATACCTGAAATAACCTTTCTATACTGTAGTTCAGTTTCCAGACTTGAAAAAAATATAGAAAAATTATTACACTACTACATTGTGTAGTGACATTATTACCATTAAATGTTGTTCGTATTGTATTCCTATATTACTACAGTGTTACTACTGTGTCAAAGCGTTACTAATACTAGCTATATTGTGTTCCTATAACGATACAGTGTTACTATTGTGTCAAAACGTTACTAATACTATTTGTATTGTGTTCCTATAACACTACGGTGTTACTACTGTGTGAAAGATAACACTAGAGTTACTACTGTGTCAAAGCGTTACTAATACCAGTTATATTGTGTTCCTATAACACTACGGTGTTACTACTGTGTCAAAGCGTTACTAATACTATTTGTATTGTGTTCCTATAACACTACGGTGTTAGTACTGTGTGAAAGATAACACTAGAGTTACTACTGTGTCAAAGCGTTACTAATACTAGTTATATTGTGTTCCTATAACACTACGGTGTTACTATTGTGTGAAAGCGTTACTAATGCTATTTGTATTGTGTTCCTATAACACTATGGTGTTACTACTGTGAAAGCGTTACTAATGCTACTTGTATTGTGTTCCTATAACACTATGGTGTTACTATTATGTGAAAGCGTTACTAATGCTTCTTGTATTGTATTCCTATAACACTATGGTGTTACTACTGTGTGAAAGCGTTACTAATGCTTCTTGTATTGTGTTCCTATAACACTATGGTGTTACTACTGTGAAAGCGTTACTAATGCTACTTGTATTGTGTTCCTATAACACTACGGTGTTACTATTATGTGAAAGCGTTACTAATGCTAGTTATATTGTGTTCCTATAACACTAAGGTATTACTATTGTGTGAAAGCGTTACTAATGCTAGTTGTATTGTGTTCCTATAACACTATGGTGTTACTACTGTGAAAACGTTACTAATGCTACTTGTATTGTGTTCCTATAACACTACGGTGTTACTATTGTGTGAAAGCGTTACTAATGCTAGTTATATCGTGTTCCTATAACACTACGGTGTTACTACTGTGTGAAAGCGTTACTAATACTAGTTATATTGTGTTCCTATAACACTATGGTGTTACTACTGTGTGAAAGCGTTACTAATACTAGTTATATTGTGTTCCTATAACACTACGGTGTTACTACTGTGTGAAAGCGTTACTAATGCTACTTGTATTGTTAGTCGCGGTATAGCGGCTCATAGAATGACTCCTAGTTTTGTTTTTCAAGTAAAAAATGTTAGCTCATAGCTTCGTCATCTCTTGACCGATTTGAGGTCTAATTACAGTTTTGGATGCTGGAGATAAAAACCATTCGATTGATGTATTTGGCCACGCCCAAAATCTCATAGCTTAATTTGCCCTAATCCTGTGTAAAATAATCTTAATTTGAGAGTGGTTTCGTAGAGATCATGATGAGAAATCAAATCGAATAGAGTATACGTGCGCCCCGCGCTTGGTATTGCTGGCGCACAAAAATATAGCTAATAAAAAAAATGGGAAAGGTCTCATATATTTACTCTAATTGTGCCTTTGAAGTGCCGTGGCTATTGTGGATTCCCTCTTGCGTTCCTATTACGCTACAGTGTTATTACTGTATCAAAGTGTTACCGAAACAAACAGTTTTTATTGTCTTTATTTTCAGGCTTAGTCTATCAACTTAACGTTTTAGATTACATAGTGTTAATTATTAAGCATTTGAAGATTGGATTATTAGTTAGTGTGTAAAGCCTTACATTGATAATTATTAACAGTTTATACTTTATGAGTTAGAATAAAATATCAAATATATGCTTTTCTTTTCAATAAAATGTTAACACCGTCTTACACGAAAAACAATCATTTTATACCAAAAAGTAGAATACTAGGTGCGTTAAGGAACTGAATTAATAAAAGTACTTACCTGGGGAAGACCAGCGCCATCTCGTGGTGTGATCGTGGCTTCACCAATACCACTGTCCGGGGATGGAAGGTCAGCAGTGTGTCCGTGCAGGCTGCTCTTGTAGCTGCTATTCTGACGGATGTAGCGATCAACAAGAGCCACACTCTCGGCAGTGTCTGGGTACGAGGCTATATGCTGTCGAATGGTTTGATACTGTTCCACAACAGGGGAGCCCACATAAGGATACAACTCTTTGTAGCAATCCGCAGCGGCCAGTGTATAGACAGTGGACCCTGCTGTCCTGGTGACCAGAGAACTTTGTGTGACGTACTGGGGCACGGTGACCACAGCATTGGCCAGAATGCTGTACTGTCCAACACCTAGCGGTTCATAACCAGACTGCGACGACGGTACGTCAGCGAAAACCTGCAAAATCGTCAATTTTTTTTACAAAAGCAAATAATTTATCAAAGTAAAAAATTTCATGGTAAGTAAGATACAACCAACTGAAAATAATATTGTAGATTTTGAAAGAAAATTCACAAGTAATGATGACATTTACAACGAAAGCAAATTGTAATGTGTTTTAATTACAGGCAAGTAGGATTTTGATTCGGAATTTTGGCGCAAAGCTACACAGAGGGAGCTATGCTAATTTTGAAGTGATAGACTGGAGTGAAATAAACTAGTCAACAGCACCCACCACCAACTCTTTGGCTATTCTTGTCTGACCGAATAGTGTGGTTTGACAATCACTCCCACTCTTGAAACGCGACCATAGTTCCAACTTACAGGACGAACTTTTGTAGAACTAGAATGTGTACTGTGAACCAGTCGAGCATGCTAACCACTAGGCTAAGTCCGGTCTAAACGAAACCATAAAAATGAATATTTGAAAAGAATTAGATAATCTAATGAAGTGATCCTTCTTACTAACCTCTACCGAACTGTACGCTTGTGCTCCAGTTTGTAAAGGGATTTCAGCGGTCCTCTGGGACTGGGTAGTGCCGGCCTGCATACTTCTGGCTTTGCTAAGGTCAGGGGTATTTCCCCCTGATACTGTTACCAGATCGATGGCTTGACCAGGAGACTTGAGATCAGAGGAGAGGGATGTCTTGGACAAAGGGGAGGGGCTCTTTTGTTTAACTTGTACCAACAAGGGGATAACTGTACTAGTCTGTGTTGGGGAGGGATCCTCCGGGGACAACGAGGCATCACCACTAGATAAAGAAAATATAAGCGAAGGGGTTACAGATTTTCCCTGATCATGCTTATTGGGATCAGGGGAGGGAAGGGGATTTCTTTTATTACCATTCACCAACGGCAAAGTGGCGGTAAGTTCTTCCGGCTCACGCTTGACGGCGACACTGTTCACATAGATATCCATTTCTTCGGCTCTTGTGGCTGATGCCAATACATTAGCTACAGCTGATGTTACAGTTTTCATGTGAGGGCGCAGGTGTGGGATGCTGGGAGCCATTGTGCTCGTTCCTATGGATGGAGTCACAGTTGCACTGAAAGAAATAATAGTAAATAAGTAAAATCGATAAATATAATAACGTTAAAAATAGAAAACAATAGGTACGGCACTGAATAATTTATAATAAGTCTACAAAGTATGAAGGTTAAGGTACTCAGATATTTATGATATAATAACAAAGTATTTAATGAAATATGATCTACCTGAGAAGAAATACAAAAAATAATACCAATTTTTTTCTCTATACAAAGTTAACCGCACTTTATAAAACCACGTTCCAAGTCCAGTATTGCCCATGGAACTACTCCCTCCATCGTCAGTAACGCTACCCATGATGTCTACAACCAGCTTCCGTGCCTTGCTATAACTGGAACTACTTCCTCCATCGTCAATACGCTACCCATGATGTCTACAAACAGCTTCCGTGCCTTGCTATAACTGGAACTACTTCCTCCATCGTCAATAACGCTACCCATGATGTCTACAACCAGCTTCCGTGCCTTGCTATAACTGGAACTACTTCCTCCATCGTCAATAACGCTACCCATGATGTCTACAACCAGCTTCCGTGCCTTGCTATAACTGGAACTACTTCCTCCA